TCTGCGTGCTGGAGCGGCTTCTCCTCCTGCTGCCGGGGTAGGGGTTCGCGGGCTTGCTGTTTGCTGATGTTTGTGCTCGCTGGTTTTGTTTTAATGAAAGGGAGTTTGCTTATCGCTGCCTTTATAAATATATCCTGTAGTACAGAAGGAAGGAAGACTTCTACACAAACAACTGGAGGAGAAGGGAGCAAGTTGGGAGGGGAAGACATCCTGGCCAGGCTTACAAAAGCTTTTGCAGCACCATCACACGGACATGGATTTGATGCAGTTTACTCTGAGAGGTCGCAAAGCCATTTGCAATGCAAGTTAGAGCTCAAACTCGGTTGTTTGCAGATGACTAGGGGTAGATTCTGATGTCCTGCACATGAGCAGAAATCTGCTGTTTGTGGATGAGCTATGTAGTTATTTCTTAAACTGGGAAAAACAAAACTGGAATCTGCTCACAAGAGTAAATGCTGGACTGAGTGCTGAATTCAAGAGCGAGATCCTCAGCCTCTTTTTAAACATTTCATTGGCCTCCTGGGCAATGTGGTTTCATGGTTTAGTTTGTTGTTTTTCTGTCCTGTCCCGTCCCTTCTTTTCTCCCCATTCCTACCCCAGTGGGGTGTAAGGCAAGAGCTGTGCGCTGTGGGGCCTTGCGTGCTCTTACAGCTGCGGCTGCAGCTCGAGCTAGCAGCGAGCCTGCTGGTTTCCATTACAAAGAGCACTTGCAGCCTCTGCTGTGAGAAACCCTCAGACCTCCCTTGTATATAGCAGACCTCTGAATACTGAGCAGCTGGCAGAAGGACATTTTCTGGCCCAAGACACAAAGCGTTAAAGGCACACTTCCTCCATGGCTGCATTCCCGAGGAGCTGGGGGTCTGGCAGCTGGGCAGCAGCACACGGGGCATGGGGATGTGCCAGCGCAGCTCCTGCCGGAGGAAGCTGGCTCGTCCCTGCTCTGTAACCCTCTGGATGCAGGCTGTGCCTCCAGTCTGTCACTGAAGTGATCACTGGGGAAGGGGAGCGCTACCAAATCCTGAGCAGGGAAGAAAAATTGGACTCTGCAGGCCTGGCCCACGGTGGCGCCAGGTTTCAGACAACCTAGGGCAATGTGAAGCAGGAGATCTGCATCACTATAAACTCTTGAGGCAGGAGATGTACCAGCCTTTGATTTTTCCCAGTTGTTCCTGCCCATGATCCGGCAAAACATTTCCGTCTTGCTCCTTTGCTGGGAAAGCAGCCATGCTGGTGCTGGCTGCCACGGTTGGTCTGCAGCTCCAGCAGCAGCAGTCTGTCCGTGTTACTGTGCTGAGATCACAGGTTCACATCCTGAGAGATGAGCTCAAGGGAGGGGACAGCTACAGTGCACGTTACATAAACTTAGTCTTGCCATCTCTTTTGAAGAGACTATTTTGTAATATTGCTAAGGTTGCAGATCGGAGCGCTGTAACTTTAAAAATGCCACAGTTAGTTTCCTACATGGCCCCATAATGATCTTTTTGGTGTTCACATAATGGTGCAATTTCTACATCCATGCTAGTTGAGAGCTGGATTTTTTCCAGAGGATCCCAGCCACAGGTGCAGAAGGAGTGTGAGGAGAGCAGACAAAAATCTAGGTTTTATCAGGAGCCATAAATCTAACATTAGCTCCTAGTGCTTGATTTGGCAATCCAAATAACAAAGGGCTTTTAATTTATTGTCAGTAAACAAGAAATTGTGAGACTTCTCACAACAGGTTATAAGTGCTACACATACTGTGGTAGCTATAGGGGAACTTCCTGCATTCTTGTATTCAGAGTAAATCAATTTAAGCTTGCAGGGTAGCCTGTTGTTTTTCTACATGAGGAAAACTGGCCATGTCTCAGGATATGTGGTATCCAGCTGATTGAAGAACATTGTCTTCAGCTCCACTTCTAGTAAATATGCTGTTCTATAAACTGTCATTAAAACTAAAGCCTACATTTCATTGGCCTTTTTCCATGAAGGAGCAAAGCTATAAGGTGGGCTGAGTCATGTAACGGGACCCATTTGAGTGACAGCTGACAACAGAAGATGGACAGTCTTCATTGTGGCAGTTTCCATCAGCTCCTTTTGAAATGCTTAAGAAAACAGCAGTATTATTTTTCCCAAGTGTGTAGCAATGCTAAGGTGCCGAAGTCTAGTAACATTTTAAATAGCATGCTGTTTGATGTCTGTCACCCAAGATACTCTTTGCATGGAAATACAAACCACCAGAAGAGGAAGACTGGGAAGGGTTGGATTATTGTTTTCTATGACAACTAACATTTTCAATTTCCCTTCTCCCAACCCCAACTTTTCTCTCCCCTTTCCATCAGGGGAAACAGCGGGAAGACAGCAGGTCCCTACATCCCCGCCAGCCTCAGAAAACAGCAGTGCAGCGCACAGCATTGGCAGCACGCAGAGCACCCCCTGCTCTAGCAGCAGTGCCACCTAACGCCGGGGAGGAACACAGTTGAGGAGCAACATAGGAGCGCAGAGGTTCAAAGGACTGTGTGTGGACATCAGCTTTTTAAAGTGAAAAGGATTGGTTCAGTTGCTTTTGAAAAAAATGAGGAGGAATTTTTCTACAGGGAAAAAAACAAACAAACAAACAAAAACCAAAAAAACGCACACCTGATTTTCTTTTGGGGAAGCCAGTGTGTGTGTGAGTGTGTATATGTGCACACAATGCATGGGTAAACACAGCCTGTTGGATCTTCTGTAGCATGTTATGCTACATGTGACAAAGCTACTAATTTTACAGTACTGCAACCTGTTGTAGGGGTCCGTGGGCCCTCAATGTGAAATCTATGCCAGTTTGGAAAAATGCTGCTTTGTCTCTGACTTTTT